CTGAGGTGTTGTTTTACCTGCAGGATGGGAGGAATCCCAGCAGTGAACGGCAAAGGAGAGCGTCTCCTGCTACACGTAGGAATAATAGATATCCTTCAGTCATACAGGTAGGTAACTTTGCAGTCATCTGTCCTGGAAGTGTGTGAACATCCATTTCAGTACTAAAGCAGGAAGGATTTTCCTCTCCCGAGGAGTCTGGTAATGAGTAGGCAGGCTGCCTAAAGCTGTCTGTCAATGTGTGCTGGGGGCTGTGGATTTTTATCCTGTCCTTAAAACAGCTGGTGGCACAGAGCCGTTTTTCTGAGATATGAGCTGCTCTGAAAGAAGTTTGCCGTCTCTGTGCCTAGGATGGGTAGCACATCTCCGGGGATGGAAGGTGATTTTTCTGCCCCTCTGCCAGCCCAGCTCCTCCTTGCCTGTAGGGTTCCCAGGCAGTCCTGACCTGACTGCAGAGATGCCGGTGTGCTCAGCTGGAGCTCTTTTGGCGGAGGAAAGCTACACTCCGGACGAAGGGGGAATCATCAGCGGCTCAGTGATCTCTCCTGTGGGGGGTACAAAAGGTGGCTGAGTTATAGAGTTCGTGCCTGAATCAGTCTCCTTCTTTTTCTCTCCACTTCTCCCCTGGAATTAGGTTCATCAAGAAGCTGGAACATACCTGGAAGGCCCTTGTCCATGATGGGGTGAGTGCCTGTACAGAGGCAGGAATTGTCCAGGCCCTGGCAGGATTACCTGCCTTGGCTTCGTTGATGCTAGTTGGTGCCAATTACCTTGCTATTTATAGGGCCTGAACTGGCACAGTTCAAGCTGGTGCAAGGAATAGTTCTTGCCTCTTATACCTCCACAGTGGTGTAGTGCCACGTATTCCCAATCAGCTTTACTTGCTCACTCCTCCTCCTCGCATGTTTAGCTGTCGTGCTACCAGCTTTCCTCCTCTGCTCCCATCTGTCATTTGCCTCCTCCCCACGATACCGGGAGCTGTACGCACAAGGCGCGTGCTTTTGTGTGCGCCGAGGAGCCCTGCGCTTGCTCTCTTTGGTGATTGACTGTGTTTCCACTTCAGTAAGCTACCTGTTCATAAATCCCTCTCAGGGTTTCTGTGCTGTCTTGTCTCTGCAGCAGCCAGGTGCATGTTTATGCATATGGATATGGAAACTATTTTTCAGCACTGCATATCCTAGCTTCCCTTAAATAATAAGGCAAAGGAAATGTGTACTTGCCAAGTCAGAGCAGCGCAGTGGAACATCAGAAACAGAGGCAGCTTCAGTTTTGCTATTTTAA